AAACTTCAGATAGATAGTATGGCAAATGAGTAACAGAGAAGCAACATGAACACTTGTTTTTAGGTGAGATCTTGAGGAAGGAAACCTTTTAAGCACATAACTGTATTTTGTAAGCAACTTATTTTGCCTTACTGGTATTATTATGAGCCGTTAAACTGGCTGTGCATAACTACCAAACTATTCTGTTATATTTTCATTTTGTTTATATTGTATATACTGTGAGTGCTGACACTGTGAGAAAGAAAATGGCCAGGCTAATGGTATGAAACAACTTTAAATACTGAACCAAGGTAAGCAAGAACACCTGAATGATGCAGAAGAAGTAATTTATTTCATTATTCCTGGGTTGATACCATCAAGCAATGAAATTCACATATGGATGCAGAGAGAGACAGGCAAGAGTGGAATCTCAATTGGAAATCTCTTATTTTCATTTGCTTAACTCACTGTAACAGCTAGCCTAAATAAAGAGGTCTTATGAGACCAGGAAACCATGTTGTGATAGAAACTGATTTTGTAAGTGCCATTGAATCCCTGTTTTAATATAAATAAATAAAATAAATGCTTAATTAATGCTTCCTTTTGGTTCAGCTGGGGACCTTGGGAAATAACATATTTGTTCCTAAGTTGGGCACTGAAGCTAGAACAGCATGTGACAATTCCTTAGTAAGAGTCTGTAGAAGTAAATGTTAGCATGCAGGTTCCAGAAAAATACATTTTACAAGTAATTCTGCACATTACACAAGTTCACATGAGAGAAAATGTGTTTTCAGCCAGGTATATGTCAATCCATTGTACAGGCAACATATTTTTTTTTTTTTTAAGAAAGAAGACCTCTATGTAGCTCGCTACCAAAAAATAAAAAAAAAAAAATAAAAATGGTTTGTTGTATAAAGACATAAAGTTACTGTGATGATTTGAAAACTAGAATTTAAGAGCTATCAGAATTGCATTCACTTGGTACTTGGGTTGCTTTAAATAAGGATTTAATAAAATCTATTGTAATTGCTCCAATTAAAGGAGAGTAGTATCAACTTTGAGATTTCCTACTGCTGGATCTGAACACTTGGAGGATGGCTGGATTGGTATTGTGAAACACAGGCAAAAGTAATAGTTCAAAAATAATTAAACTTCTTCCTTTGAAGAAGACACATTTTTGTCTCATGCAGGCATTTGTCAATGAGTTTTTTGTCAAAACTCTTTATTTTTTCTTTGGTTTGCTTTCTGGATGATGAATTCAGTAGCATTTCACCTACCACAGATGAAGATGAAGGAATTCTAGATGAATAGTGAAACCTAATCATAAAACATTTTCTGTATTCTGTAAATTTTTGGTTGGGGACAAGATTTTTGTTCATATTTTTAAATAATGTACATTTTACATTCATAGAGTCTTGGGAAGATAGTTTTGTTTTTAAAATGAAAACATTAAGATGTTTCATTGGAACACACAAGCAGAAGCAGACTTTTCAAAATGTATAAAGTTTATTCAAGAACTCAGTTTGCAGTTAATTCTTGCAATTTCCTTTTGCATCAAGCTATATAAAGATAAACAAATGTCAATACTAAAGGTCTGTGAAATGGAAACAAAGAGGGTTGTGTTTGGGCAGTCACCAATAAAGTTTTACTACTATTTTGATACTTCTACTTTTCCACTGTGTAACAATCCCAACCAGTTACTAGAACTGCTGTAAATAATTATTTTTGAGGGTAAAAATATGCAAACAATACAGTTCACTGTTGTGAATGCTGGGTAGTGCGTTCGTTTTCTTCTCCGTTTGGATAACACTTTTGCAAATAAACTAGAGAAGTGCATACTCTCACTTTCCTGTGCAATAATTTTCTGTTAATCTGTAACTACTTACTGATGTTTGATTCAAGTAGAAACAGTAATTTTCAAGTATTAAAGAGGGGTGGAAATACATTCGCATGGAGATACCAGTAAAGATAGTTCAGTGGTGTATGAACTACACAGAGATTAACAATTCAGGTTTTGATTACACTGCAGTAATTTTAGCATACACTTTGTTTCTCCACTAACCACACCTAAAAGGAAAAAAATCCCAAAACTGTTCTTCAGTGACACGAAGTTTCCATGCTTTAAAAAAACTTATATAATGCAACTATGTCTTCAATGCCAGTTTTGTAGCATCATGAAAAGAAGAATAGAATTTAAACACTGAAGAGGGGCAGGTTGGTGTTTAGTTTGGTGGCAATGCTGAGGATTCTGTATGACTTGGGATCCACCTGTGAACTAAGGCAAGTCCAAAGGTCTATCTCCATGTGAGAAAGGTAATAGTTACTGCAATGTGTAACTGAGGTGCCAAAATGCTTAGTAGTGTACTAGCCAGAGAACTGCACCCCTATTCTCATAGCTGTGTACCACAGCTTTATAAAAATAACTAAGAGCAACTTCAATGTAAGGAGTTGCAATAGAAGTGGCTTCCACATACCCAGTAGTTTCAGCATTAGGTTACTTTTGTAACCTGGAAAGCCTTGATTCAGTCCCTTGCTCTGTATTAACTGCAAATCATATTTGAAAATGTGTGTCCAAAACAAAGGCTTAAAACGCATTAACTTTAAATGCTGTATTTCCATTGCCAGCAGGAGAGGCAGATTGTAACTAATATATTTATTTATGGTATCTGGCTAATATTTAGGGATTAGATTAGGTGAATGACTAGTTTGGTACCACACGGAAGTGGGCATATGTTCATTGATGTCAGAAACATAGGTATGGTGAAAATTCAAATGCTTTTGAAACTAGATAGTGGCTGAATTCTCTAAGGACTGAAGTCTGGTTTTCCTGCTATGCTATGTCTATAAAGGACTGGAGACACTACAGCCCTCTGAGTTACTTGTAGCAGCAGTTTATTGGCATCTAGCACACACAACGGAATTTGATGTCCTTTATTTTAACACTCGTATTTTCTATCCAGTCAATAACCTAAGTCTGTTTATAATTTGTTTTGCAAAAGCCTGCACATGGAGCTGGAACCGCCTAAACTGACTTAAAAGGAATGCTGCAAACAGTTTCTGTTAAAGTCTGCCTCAGCTGAGGGCTTAGCTGTACTGAGATATAGTTGAGAGATACAGACAGATGTAGTTGAAAGATAGAGTTGTAGAGTAGAGATATATTCCTCTCTTTGGGGCCACAGCCCTAGATTCACTTCTGAAGGTAGATGTCTAAGCCCAGGAAAAGGGGATTTCAGAAATGGAAGATGTGTGTCTACCTCCTTCTTCCTTAGGGAACATGTTAGCAATTGGAGCAGTCTCCAAATAACACGGGAGACCTCAGTTCACTTGCCTCCTTTGGCTGGGGGGACCCAAAAGCTCAGCTTAAGCACATCTCCTTCTTTTCCTATTGAAGCTCTTTTAGTTTGCTTTAATTCCTGAGGGCTCCACCCTGCTAATGAAGGGCAATTTCAGTATTTTACATTAGACTCATTGAATAATTTACAAAGGCAGTCCTTGAGGCAGGGACTACCCAGGGCTTTACCACAATAACAGGGGATACTGTTAACTGAGGGCTCTTTCTCAACTCAGTCTTTTGTCGGTATCTTGGATCATAACTGAGTGTTTGGCTTCTTTGCTTGTCCACCAGAGCTGAAGTAGAAAGTTCAAAAAACAGGATAGCTTTAGTAATTCTTTTGCTCTGATTCTCCTGCTTTAATGATGATGATTCCTTTCTCTAAAGGATCGACATTCTGGTGTTTAATAACAGTTACAGGTCAAAAACTTCTGTAAATAGACACCAAGGCACTATGTGATAGCAGCTCCTACCTCAAATATGTACAAAACAGCATCAAAGGAGTTAAAATCCCATGAGTTTTAAAGAACAGACTATTCAGTACAAATCTAGCTACCCAGAGGTGTGCAAACAATTTATTTGTGTTTAGTGCAACACTGTACAGGGGAACAGGTCTGCAATTGTGTTTCTCTACAAGGTCAATAAATGGTTTGTCAACTCTGGTGAGCATTTATTTTGTATCCAAAGTCCTAATGTAAAAAATAATAAAGATTAGTTTTACTCTCTCCGTTTGTGATGGAGTCTCGGTCTGACAGGATCAGAAGTATCAGTCAACAGCTGCAGATGGAAATGAAATACTCCTCTTAATTGGATCCTGTGGGCTGCAAAAAAGGATTTTGTTCCCCACCGCCCAAACAGTTCCTTGTGTCAGACAATCTGGAGCCATGTATTTTTTTTCTTTTCTTTTTACTAGTCCAGCTGGCAGAGCAAATTGCCTTGTTGAATTAAAACAGGGTTTAAATGAGTATGACAGTACAGGCAATAAAACAAACTTCTGCTATTATAAAATATACTAACATATTTCTCCATTGTATAGTGAACAGATTTGAGACACGGGTGGCATAAATGACTCCTGAAGCTTTTTGTATTGGTTATTTTTATACAAATCTCGGTAATAAGCAAATCAGCATATATGTCGACAAATTAAAACAGAAAGCTATTAGCAAATTAATACCTTTTACACAGAACTTATACAAATACCACATTTTTCATGTCTTGTGTTATTGCAAGAACAAAATTGCATAGACCATTTGCTGGCACTTTTCGAATTCCCCAACTAATGCTTTGTCTTAGCATTATTCCCTCAATCTAATTTCACCCACTAATGCAGTAAGTGTTTACATGTAGTGAGAGAAAAAACCCACAGAGCTCAAAAATATTAACAGTGACATAATCATCTGACTGAGTAATAGTTCAGCAAGGAAACATATTCCTTTTTTTTTTATGCTCTCCATAAGGCTGTTTTCAAAGTGTTACTGATAAAACATGTAATTTGATTCAAGTCATTCTTTTGAAGTTGAAATGTCATTTGTGCTCTTCTTCCCTTTTCACCCTGTAGTCCAGAATTGTAGATACAGATCTGTTTCCTAACTGAAGTACTTCGTGTTTAAAACTGAAAATTCTGCTTTTGGTAATGCTTTTCAGCAGTAATATAAAAATCAGACTATAGCAAGGTGCTTTTTCTGGTACCTCACTGGCAGACACGGCTGTATTCATGGCAAGTGGAGCCCACACCGGCCACTGACAAATAGAGCTTTCCATCCGGACACACACAGATTTCGTAGAGCCCCTGAGAAATACCAGATCCACCCCTTGTACCCTCAGGCAATTTGGGCAGTCGCACAGTTTCAGCATCCAGCAAAAGCTAAATGGGAGAAAGCAGAACAAATGACCTTGTGAAGAGATAATAATGCAATAGTGTGCCATACAACAACCTGACTGCCTAGGCAGTGATTTAAGAATAGCCTTCTACTCAGACTTGTTATATACAAAGCTTTCTGAGACTTAGGCTCTTAGAAAACACTAGAACACAGGAGAGGGATAAGCTGGTGCCCATCCTTCCTTAGCAGAGACCTCATGAAGTTCAACAAGGCCAAGTGCAAGATCCTGCATCTGGGTTGGGGCAGTTCCAAACACGGAAACGGGCAGGGTGATGAGTGGATTGACAGCAGCCCTGGAGAGTACTCGTGGATGAAAAGCTGGACATGACCCAGCAATTTGTGCTTCCAGCCCAGAAAGACAGTAGCATCCTGGGCTGCATCAAAACGAGTGTGGCCAGTAGGTCAAGGGATATAATTCTCCCCCTCTAGCCCACTCTTGCTGAGACCCTAACTGGAGTATTGTGTTCAGATCTGGGACCCCAAACATAAGAAAGACATGGACCTGCTTGAGCAGGTCCAGAGGAGGGCCACAAAGATTCTCTGAGGGCTAGAGACCTCTGCTATGAAGACAGGCTAAGAGAGCTGGGCTTGTTCAGCCTGGAGAAGTGAAAGCTCCAGGGAGATCTTACAGCAGCTTCCAGTGCCTAAAGGGGGCCTACAGGAAAGATGGGGTGAGACTCTATCAGGAAGTGATAGGATGAGTGGTAGTAGTTGTAAAATGATGAAGGGTAGATTTAGATTAGATATTTAGAAGAAATTCTTTGCTGTGAGGGAGGTGAGACACTGGCACAGGTTGCCCATAGAAATTGTGGATGCCTCATCCCTGGCAGTGTTCAAGGCCAGGCTGGACAGGGCTTTGAGCGACTTGGTTGAGTGAAAGGTGTCCCTGCCCATGGCGGGGTAGGTGGAGCTAGATGACCTTTAAAGGTCCCTTCCAACCCGAACTATTGTATGGCACGAGACAGAGCCCCTGCCCATACACTGAATAGGGGCGCGTAGGTGCTGCTGCTGCTGTTGGACCCAGGTCTGTCCGGGCCTGAGTGCTTAAGCTTTGCAGCTGTGCCAGCTGGTTAGGGATGGACATATAGGTTGGTCCAGAGTTCTTCTGTGGAAGAGCTGGCAATGTACACTCTCACAAAGGCGCTAAATGGTCTGCTGCATGAGGCCTGCTGTTGCTGACGGGGCAGATCTTGATACCTCCTTAATTTAGCAGCTCTGGGGCTGAGTGTCTGCTCTAGGACAAGGACCCTGATTGGGTGCCTGGGAATGACTGTGCTAGTGGGGAGATGGGTGCTATTGCAGGTTTACTAGAAAGCATTTCTCTAACCTAACACAACATTATGTCAATTGATGGTATTATTTAATTTAACCCATAAATAAAAGTCTTGAAGTTAGTTACATTCAGACAGCACGATCAACCATAGTTATAAAAACAGAAGGGCTTGTACTCACCACACCATCACTGCTGTGCAGTTTGATATCCATTTGGGAAAGAGCTTCGATATTCCCAGCTTGCGCTTTGATATTAATTCCTCGTGGTGCATCCATACTCAAAGATCGAGTTGGTGATTCCAGCCTGAAAGCAGGAGCAGGAAATCTGACAATAGCACATTCTCATATGTTCCTTTATTTTTGAAAAGTAAGTAAACTTTGAACAAGCACTTGGAGAATCTCGCCTGAAGTCACATGAAAGATGCAGCTTCTTTTTCCTTCAGGCAGACTTGCAAAAGGAGGAAACTATTTGAAAACACCAAAGTATCCCGAATGAAAAATATAGATGAATTCATGATACAAACATAAGGTATTATTTCAGAGATAACTTCAGATTATTTCAGTATAACAGTAATTTATTCTTTAAAACTGAAACCCATTTTATATTCTTCAGTTTGAATTTATTTTCATTTTTGACGTAACAAGATATTGAAATTAATACAATTAGTGCAGTCTGGAAGTTTTGTAATCAGCAAGAGTTTTGACACTGCTATCACACTCTGTGTGTTGTTTAACTAGATAGCATCTGGAACTTAAGACCCAGTAACTTCCTTTGACATAAAAATTATGCAAGACAGAAAGCTGCAAACCCTACAATGCCACAAGATGGCAGGAAGGTACTGCATGAGCTGAGTAGTCACCTCATCAGGTCAGCTGCGCAGGATTAATGATTTTTGTTTTGGAAAGAGATAAGGCTTTGTTCTTCACAATTTTGTACCATTTCCACAACAAGTAGCAGGGATAAAAGTACTAATTAAAAATCAAGAGATGGAAAGAAAAAGCCCAAGCTCAGCAACAAGCTAGTGATTATATTCTTTTGACCATCACCTAGAACTGCTTCCTCAGGAAACATGGGGAATGGTGCAAGATCAGAGCTGATACCTACCGAGTTTTGTTCCTGATGACAACAGCTTGAATTTTATACTATCAACCAATATTAAACAGGTGAATATTAAGCCTAGAGAAAATTAACCAGTAGTCTCAGTTTACTTTATATCCATGTTACCTTCTCTATTCTGTACGTTCCCTGGACACATAGAAAGTGATGCAGGCTTCATCACAATGCAGAACTCAGACATGTGTCCCTGCTCCCAGGTCTGCATGTGCTCACCCACCCTGTCTTCCAGAAATGCAGGGGTGGTCACGTATGTGTGCATGCACATGTATGCACATGCACTCCCAGCAGATGCTGTGTTGGGTCCATGCGTGCTCAACAGCTGCCAAGCTGGAGGAGTGGAGGACTGTGCCCCAGCAGGTCCTTTACTAGGTGCGCATCAGATACTAAGTGTAAACATTGACTCCAATCAATCACACAATCGTGATGTGACTGTCTGATGGGTTTCATTCGCTCAGACTGCTTCAGTTCTTCCCTTTTTAGCAGTTATTTCATTAAAACTAGAATTCAAGTCAGTTGTGCTCGTGAAAAACTTCAGTTTTATCTTAGAATTCTAAAGAAGCTAAATCCAGCTGCTGTCTTAAAACCTAAACCCATGATATCTGACCACAGTCAAGCACAGTCACTGAAACTTCCTTTTTTATGCCCAAATCTGAAAATAACGCAGGCAATATTGGCTTATCACTGCTGGCCAGAAGCAGCAGAAGATTCTGTCTTTGATCTTCAAAAGTCCCTTCTAACCCAAAGTCCATGTTTCTATGATCTGCCTCTCCCCAGCATCTCCCGGGTTAATCACTTTCGATCAGTTTAAACTTTAGACTGATAACTTAAATTCCTAGCAATGGATAACTGCATCATGGATCCCTATTGGGACCATAGTGATAAAATAGTTTGATGCCTTATCCCATGAGTCAGAGATGGCACAAACTTCAGTAATGATCATGCTGAGTACAAGGGCACAAATATGAGTCTGTTCTGCATCAGACATCTGATATAGTGTTAGTAATATTTACCAAGCAGTGTTTGTGATTTAACAACTCTTCCATGACTTTTTGCTTTAGATTTACACTTTTATGAAATTGGAAATCAGTTTTTCCTTCAATGATTTACACAGGAGGTCTGCTTCACGGGAATATTTTTTGATGTACATTTGTATGCCTCGTATAATGAATAATCAAAGCCTGTATTTTCAATATTTAGAATTTAATATATTTTCATGAGTTTGTGTCAAGGTAGTTGACTGTTGTTGAGTTTGTTTTAGCAAAAAGCTATAAACATTGAAATAGCTCATGGGTTTTTGTAAAGTATTCCACCTATGTAAGTAATTTATACGTAGGCATAAATTTTTATTTTTAAGCTCCAATAAATATTACAAGAAGGCAGACTGGGACAGATTTTTGAAGAACATATCAGACCTGGAGTTTGAAAAGCAATCAAATACCGGAGAAATATTTCCTACTTTCTACCAAAATTAATGCTGGCAAGAAGCCTACAGACTTCAGAAGCATTTACAGATTTATGATATGACTTACATACAATTTAAATTACATGGAAAAATTACATTTGCTATATTAATCACAATCCTAAATTTCTGCTGTTTATACATGTCCTATTTCTAGATTTTCTAAGGGCAGATTTACCTAATTGAGTAGGTCATTGGAGCTTCCTGGAGATGGAAACTACAGTGAAACTTAAGCAGTGATTTTAAAGCCTTCTGGAAGTACAATGTGTGAGATTTTAGCAAAGGCAACGTTCAGTAACACTAATGATGTGTTTCTTCATAATGCATTCAAAGCTTCAGTGTCTCAAGCGCAGATGTACTAAAAGGGAAACAGGCACCTAGTGTAGAAATGAGGTGATTGAGTTGAACCTTGACTTTGAATGTCCCTTCTCAGTTCCCAGTAGGTCCTGAAGACATGTGACTTCCTCAGCCCCTTAGATACTGACCTTAAAGTTGCCTAAAATTCTTCAGTGGTCCTGGCACTGAGGTACTTCCATTAGGTCACTGGTGGGCAGGTTTGTACTTCTCCTGTATGCTTAAGGGTCTAGAGACCACAGAACTACCCTAGCGGAAGAACTGAGTGAAGGAGAATCTTGTATGAGCTCAGGGTGTCTTGGAAAGATATGAATAGAGCACTGTAATTATTAACACTGGTGGTGTTTTAAATAGACATTTATAAAGCAAAATGGGCTTTTTTTTTTTTTTTTTTTAAATCAGTGACCAGTGGATCTAGTTTAAACAGATGACGGGAGGAAGCTGCTCTGTGCTGTGAATGATTTGTGTCAATCAGCCAGAAGATACACCACTGTGTGCACATAATGGCTGATAAGAATGTTTCAAAATCTATTCCCTAAGTAATAAAAGGAGAAAGAGAGTAGGCTGGGCTGAGCAAAACGTTAATGTGCATCCCTCGAAAGTCCTGGCAAAAGAATTCGGTTTGCTTGCAAATGCTAGAGGGTGCTTGGAGACTGAGAGGATAGAAACTGATTCATAGAATCATAGAATAGTTAGGGTTGGAAAGGACCTTAAGATCATCTAGTTCCAACCCCCCTGCCATGAGCAGGGACACCACACACCAAACTATGTTGCCCAAGGCTCAGTCCAGCCTGGCCTTAAACTCCTCCAGGGCTGGAGCATTCACAACTTCCTTGGGCAACCTATTCTATGATTGTCTTAGAGGTTTTTGTCATTTTACAGTGTTTCTTTGAATTTGGGCAGTAGAATGATGAAGGAATATATTGTTATCAGTCTTTTTTTTTTTAATTAGAGGCATATAAATTACATTTAACAAAATGGAGTGAGGATCTTTATCATCTAGCAGAATTAATCTATGTAATGTGCTGTCCTAAATGAGACGTGTCACAGCCTGTATCTCATTTGGGAAGATGGATTCTGTACTTTTGAGAAGCTTCTACGTACTGTGGTAACTGCCAGGGGTCAATTAGCAAGTGGTGTGGTGCAAGAGGAATTGACTGGAATGGCACAACATCTGATGCCAAGGACCTGACACCCCCATTCTATCTGTCTAGAGGAGTACTCTGTACTAGCTGATGCCTGACCCTGAAGACTTCATGCCCAGAAAATTTGGAGCACATTAAGTGTTTCCCCAGGGAGCATAGCTTTCAGGTTCATTTACTCCAAATGTCACCCTGCTCATGTACCCCAAACAGTTCCCCAGTGAGAACTAAGATGTGGGGAGCTCAGAAGGCAATTGGGGGATTTCCCTCAAAAGCATGTTCCTAATTTGAATTAAGACACTCACATAGACATACCCATGGAACGTGAAGCAGCGTAAACCACACCTAGGCCTACTTGCAGGATAGGTATTTTGCCTTAGTCTCCTTCACTCAATCCCTGCATCCACCCAGAGTTTTATTGGCAAAGCACACGGAAACTGCACAGTGTCAGCTAATGAAAGGCAGGGAAGGGTGGGGGAGTAGATGGTCCTTGATGATATTCATAGCTCTGTCATCTTCTGGATATTGGTCCTCCAGTAGTCCACTGCAACTAAAGCAACGGGTTACAAGGAAGGTAGTATTTTTACCACTGTTCTCTTGTTTTTGGTAAGATAGTTCCAGAAGTTGACTATACTGTCTTGGCTGGCTGCTGAGGAAATCTAGTGCTGAGGTGTGCAGAGTAATTAATGAAGGACTGTGTGAAAGCCTTCTGAGAAAACCTGGACAGCATCCAGGCTCTGCATCTGAAACCACCCCAACAACTTAAAGTCTTGTAGTTTCCCATCTTTTCCTATAATCATGTTGCTAACTTGTGGAGATAGCAGATCACCAGAAATTGCTCATCTGGGTGTTTAGGGAGGCTGTGAGGGGAGTGACAGCCTGCTGTGGTTGTGATAAAGCAGCAGCCAATAGTGTCTGTGCATGCTGCAGGCATATTGATCTCTTCTTTCATCCTGTTCTGGCAGGAGACGGAAGGGTATCTTGCTGATCTTGTAAGTACCACAATGCATTAGAAAGCTGGGGTTTAGTGCTGCAGAAGGAGTACCACAGCTTTATGGAGCCCAAGTTTCCTACCACAATGTGGGGTTACTTGACTCTTAGAGCAGGACAGAGGAACCAGTTTGTTCGTGTTCCTTCTGGCCAGTTTTTGTACTTTCCATCTTAGGAGTCAGCGTGCCTCCTGAATTCAATTCCTTGGTCTGATTTGAGATGAAAATTCCTCACATGTATGT